ACCTCGAGGCAGGAAGAACGTCTGCTCAGGCCCGAGGGTTGAGATCTGCAAAGGCTTTGAAGGCGGCGTGCCGGCCTCTCCGAGACATGGACCTGCACATCCTGCTGGTGGACACTCCCAGAACGGCATCCCCTAGGACAAAACGGCCGACACCCAGACTAGCTGGTGTCCTTGTTGCAGGGCCCAACCCAGGGGCCGAGAGCGTCTTTGGGGATCCTGTCCATGGGAGGGAGGCCTGAGCTACCGAGAGGCCACCCTGAGCCCCACACCCTGCTTTCAGGAGCCCCCACATCGTGCAAAAGGGCAGTCCACAGCCTCAGCCCGCTGCAGAACAGCAAACAGGAATCCACATCTGGACCACAAGCCACGAAGGTCAGGGAAACTGGCCTCAGCCCCAGCAGCCCAAGTCCCAAGCCCTCCGCCTGCGGGGCACTGTCCAGCTTCCAGGAAAAGACCCACTGATTTTTACTTGAGACGATCTGCACAGTAGCAACAGGCCCAGGCTCCTGAGGACAGAACCGGTCAGAACCGGAACAGTTTGCTGGGCGTCCAGGCCTGAGGCCATCGGTCAGTATCCTGGTGGAGAGGCTCATGCACTGGGCCCATCCAACCCCTGCTCTAACGAGTCCCTCTTGCAACCTCTGAGCCCGGGTCTATAAGATGTGACCCTGTTGCCCACCTCACCACCTCCGGGCATGGTGGCAGGACCACGGAATGGGTGAGGGGCACTGTGCCATGGGTGCCGGCCATGCAGAGGAGTTGGTGTGACCCATGGGGTCACAGGAGCTCCTGTGCAATCACAGTGTGAGCGGGGCCAGCAGCAACGGCCTGAGGCCATCAGTATAATGGCTGGAGAGGCCAGCAGCAACAGCCAGAGGCCATCAGTATAATGGGTGGTGGGGCCAGCAGCAATGGACTGAGGCCATCAGTACAGTGACTGGAGGGGCCAGCAGAAATGGTCTGAAGTTACCAGTATAATGGGTGGTGGAGCCAGCAGCAATGGTCTGAGGCCATCAGTATAATGGCTGGAGGGGTCGGCAGCAATGGCCTGGGGCCATCAGCATTACATCTGGAGGGGCCAGCGCAATGGCCTGGGGCCATCAGTATAATGGCTGGAGGAGCCAGCCACAAAGGCCTGGGGCCATCAGTATAATGACTGGAGGGGCCAGCAGCAATGGACTAAGGCCATCAGTGTAGCTGGGGCACGGCCAGCAGCTATGGTCTGAGGCCATCAGTATAGTGAATGGGTCAGCTCAAGCCACGATCACAGAATCACAGTGACGGACAGGACGGCTTCACCGACACTCATTTCTCGTAGATGGACGGGTTCTAGGAGGCCCTCTCCTCCGGCCTGCAGACAGCCCCATGTCCCCAAGGAGCCGTGGTGTGCCGGCTGCACCGTCAACTCAATGTCACATGTCACCCTCCCTGAAGGCACCATAAAGATGTGTCCTCGAGCCCCCACTAAACATCCTCAGCTGACCCTAAGGCGGCCTGCCCCATGCAGGCACTGTCTCCAAAACCCAGAAAAGGCACACACAGCGCTCTCTTTCCCCCTGACTTTCAACGTTTGACGGCTTTTTTCCAGCACTCGAAAGTGGAGAAGCCAGATACGGTCCAGGTGGACGGAGCGGAGAAGGAAACCGCCAAGGCAATCCCCCCATACTGTTTAAACCAAAGAAAACACCTCGACTTTCAGGGAGGGGTGCGAGGGATGGGCAGCCAGCAGCGGGGTGTACAGCTTTGCACACTTCTCCATGGGAGCGGAAGAGCCCGGGCTGGGAGGTCCGCAGAAGAAACGCGAGTTCGGTTCCAGCAGCAGCGGGAGACGGTTCTCACCTGCTGCGTCCAATGTGGTTTCCATATTCCAGGCTGATTCCTGGAGAGCCGCTCGCCCTCGGTCCTCCCAGCACGCTTCATCAGTCTGTGAAACCTAAAAGGCAAACCAGCTGCAAAGGGGGCAGGGGAGCGGGTTTCCAGGGTCCCCCGCCGGGATTCCAGTTCATGTTCGTGGGTGTCCGCAACGCCAGGCCACGTGTCTCTGTACCAGGTCCCGCCGTGCCAGGTCCCGCTTGCACACATGGACACAGATAACTAAGATGTGGGAAGGGGTTCCCACTTCCACTCACACATCATAATGTTCCTCCAGGGCCGAGAGCGCCATCTGCAGAGAATCCCCCCGGGTCTGTCTCCATCTGTGTCTCTCCGGACGCTCCCAGGGGCAGGGGTGACCAGGGCGCAGCATGCAGGGATTTTCATCAGAGAAAATGTCTGCACCAGGACAAACAAAGAGGCCGTCGTGGAAAGCAGCAGATGTCTGAGCCTCATGCAAATGAGGGACAGAGATCGGGCCGCGTGGGGCAGGCACCCTGATTGCCGAGGTCCCTGTGGGCTGTGCACGGCGCCTGGGGCCAAATGCATCATCAGAGGAGACCCCATCCCCCAGGAGCAGCACCCGTGTCCTGACAAGGAGCAGGGCACGGGCTGGGCCTCTGCACATACCTGGGGACGGAGGTCAGAGGCCGGAGCTGGTGCCCCACCACGACACTGCCTGTGGAAGCACGTGTGAGGGACCTACCATCTCTTAAGATGAGAATCAGCACAAATGTAAGGAACAGCTAATAGTCACCTCCCAGCCGCCACGAGGCCCCTCGGCGGTCCGTCCGTCACCCCTGTGTGAGCGAGCATTCTGCAGAGAAACAGGCAGAAAAGGATGGAGACCTACGTCCATCTGTGGCTGCACATCACCGAGATGTGTGTGTATGAACACAGTAGGGTGTGTGCCGCAGAACATGCGCGTGCACATATAAACAACACAGATGTGTGCGTGCACATGTGTGCACGTGTACACGAGCTGCGTGCATGTATACGATCACGTACGCATACAGGTACATCCGTGCACGTGTGCACGTACACGCGCATGTGCACACATCTGTACTTAGCACCTTCATTCATGTGCACATGCGCAAGGGGACGTCATGTCACAGAACACGTGTGTGTGTGGTGTCAGCATCTGTACATGTGGGACGCATACACAGGATATACACGTGTGTGCGTATATATACACACGTGAGAGGATGCGTGTGCGTGAATCCATTTAAGTGTGTGTATATACGCAGGGAGACCTGTACACAATGGACATCCTGCATGTGCGCATGTATGTATAAACGTGTATGCCACAGAGCGCACGCGATGGTGTGTGTGTGTCTATACGCATACACGTATGTGCAGCAGGGCAAGTACTCTAGCTATTGTGTGTGCAAACATATATGTAATAGAAAACACATGCGTGTGCACATGCGATAGAATGCATATAGGATAGCGTACATGTGTGAATACATGCGTGTATTTTTATGAAGTAGGGTTCATGTGCTATAGAAGGACCATATACACACGCAGCAGGATAAACATGTAATAGGACGGGTCCGTTTACAGGTACATATACAATACACGCCATGCATTGCATGCACGATTGGATATGGTTGCATACACATACATGTGCGTAAATCTATGTAATAGAACATGGATGTGTATGTATGCGTATAAACACACAGGCTTGTATAGATAGAGATACAAAAAAAAATTTACACCAAGGAACTGGGCTCCCAGGATGGCAGGGCTGGTGAGCCTGAAATCTGCAAGGCAGGGGGGCTGGCTGGAGACTCAGGAGAGACCTGACCCCGCAGAAACCTCAGTGTTTCCTATTTCAGGCCTTCTCCTGATTAGACAAGGCCCACCGCAGGACAGAGCATCATGTCTTTACTTCAAGGCAGCTGCTTGGCTCCAGAGCCGCACCTAGGAAACCCCTTCACAGACACCCTCGCATGCACGCCCAGCTGGATGAGTGGGGACCCATGGCACAAACAACCTGTACCTCCCGCAGCCAGACCTCCACCCCCATCAGCCCTGCCTGGTCAGGCCTGGGTCACAGACAGGGCATAGACGGGGCCTGACCGGGGTCCCCTGGCCCTGGACCACAATAAAGAAAGGAAATCCCTGTTTTTGGAAAACTTGGATAAGCAAAATGCTCGGGGTTTGCCATGTCCTCCCCTCTTGGTGTATATTCTGACTGTTATGGAACCCACACCCACCCCCAGCCCATAGCCCGGGGAAAGGCACAGGACCTGAGTTGAGAAATCAAGAGAACAAAGCAGAGGTAAGACCCAGATGGTCATGTGGACACCAGTCAGGCGCTCTGTCTGCCCCAGCCGGACAGGGCTGCCCTCCTGGGCATCTGGCTTCCTGGACCTGGGAGGCTGGGAGGGCGCTGCGGTTTTGAAACCACGCCGGAGGCGCGTGTCTGGTCGCGGGGACAGGTGCATACGTGCTGTATCTTGAGACAAGCGTGTGGGTGTTGTTACCTTTTAGCGGAGATGTGAAACAGCTGTGTGACAAGTGGGCACACTATTCCCTGCACCCGTGGCCATGCCCTTAAATGGATGGGGAGCGGGGGCTGTGGGGCCTTTGGTGAGGGAGCAGGGGACTTCCTGCCTGGTCTGTGTGGAGCCCTCCCAGAGCCCTCGTCAGAGCCTCCAAAGTTCCCCCCCTGCAGTGGACACCCCAAGATTAGGGCCTCAGATGCAGGTGAGCGGACCCGGGGTGTCCAAGCTCGAAACAGAAGGAAGCAGGAGGCCAGGAACAGGTGACCTGGGTGGAGATGCTGGGACGTTAGGGGTGACGACACAGCGCCCTCGTGAGGCGAGATGGAGCACCAGCGAGAGTCAGGAGGGCCTGGGGTCGCCTCCTCCACCTTCCAGGGGTCCCCGAGAAACTTCCACAGCTGGAAGCCCGGTTTGCACCTCCGTAAGTCTGTAACCCCCCCAACCGTGTGGCGTGCCTCTCCTCGCGTCCTCCTGGCCCCGATGATGAAGCCGCTGCGCCGTAGCTTGCAGCACACTCCCTGCGCGTCCCAGTAGCAGGACGGGAGGGATTGTCCAAGTCCTGCACCTCTGCAGGATGTAGCGCGCATTGGCTCAGTTCTGTGACCCAGGGGGACCACAGCCGGTGCACACAAGGGTGCGGGACTGCTGGGGAGGCCAGAGAGGGGGGCCCGCAGGGAGTCCCGCCCTGCTCCCCTCCTCACCCGAGCGCCCCTTGCCTTCCAGACCCGCGCGAGCCGGGGAGCAGCAACGCCAGGATGGATATGAACTTGACACGTCCGGACAACGCCACCATCCTGATGCTGCGCGACCCGACCATCGCGGTGGTCCTGCCCGTCGTGTACTCGCTGGTGGCGCTGGTCAGCATCCCGGGCAACCTCTTCTCCCTGTGGGTCCTCTGCTGCCACATCGGGCCCAAGTCCCCGTCGGTCATCTTCATGATCAACCTGAGCGTCACGGACCTGATGCTGGCCAGCGTCCTCCCTTTCCAGATCTACTACCACTGCAACGGGAACCACTGGGTGTTCGGGGAGCTGCTGTGCAACGTGGTCACCGTGGCCTTCTACGCCAACATGTACTCGTCCATCCTCACCATGACGTGCATCAGCGTGGAGCGCTTTCTCGGCGTCGTGTACCCGCTGGCCTCCGCGCGCTGGCGCCGGCGCCGCTACGCCGTGGCCGCCTGCGCCTGCGTCTGGCTGCTGCTGCTGGGCGCGCTGTCCCCGCTGGCGCGCACCGACCTCACCTACACCGTGGAGGCGCTGGGCATCGTCACCTGCTTCGACGTGCTCAAGTCCACCATGCTGCCCAGCGTGGCCATGTGGGCCATCTTCCTCTTCACGCTGTTCATCGTGCTGTTCTTGATCCCCTTCGTGGTCACCGTGGCCTGCTACACGGCCACCATCCTGACGCTGCTGCGCACCTCGGACCCGCACGGCCGCGGCCAGCGGCGCCGCGCCGTGAGCCTGGCCATCGTGGTGCTGCTGGCCTTCGTCACCTGCTTCGCGCCCAACAACTTCGTGCTGCTGGTGCACATGGTCAGCCGCCTGTTCCTGGGCGGCAGCTACTACCACGTGTACAAGCTCACGCTCTGCCTCAGCTGCGTAAACAACTGTCTGGACCCCTTCGTGTACTACTTCGCGTCCCGCGAGTTCCAGCTGCGGCTGCGGCGCTACCTGGGCTGCGGGCGGCTGCAGGCCTGCGGCCGGGACGCGCGCAGGGACCCCCTGTTCTCCGCCCGGACGCTGTCGGCGCGCTCCATGTCCAGCGGCCACTGCGAGGGGCTCGACGGCCCCAGCCGGCCGTGCCTCCAGAGGCAGGAGAGCGTGTTCTGAGCCCCGCACTGCCAGAGTGGGGGCGGGGGTAACGGCTGGAGACGGAGGGGACGGCGCTTCCCCGCCGGCCTGCCTGCGGCTCCTACGGCCACATCCATCACGGTGCACACGGAGAGGGTCCCCAGATGGGCCTGCTGCTCCTATGACGCATCCGCCCGGTGCGCACAGAGAGGGTCCCCCGGTGGGCTCGAGTCTGGTGTCCCAACACGGCGGCAGAGCAACAGGACAGAACACCACGCGGTGTAACAGGACAGGACACAGCGGGCCTGGCCGACTGGCCCTGCTCCCTGAGGATGACGACCCAACCTGACAGATCATCTAGCCAGCCCAGCTGAGACCCCATGGACCCCCAACCTCTGCTTGCCTTGTTCTCTATGCCTCCTGCTCGGGGACGCCAGGGACACGTGCTGCTCCCCAGCCTGGTGGCGCCTGGACTTGCTGTTTGTACCCACCTCGGTCACTGTGCGTGCTGGGATGCACCCCCACGAGGGCGGACGGGCCCCTCTGGCCTCTGTTCTTCCAGAGCTCACAGGGTCCCCTGCACCCCGTGTCACCCGATCCCCCCAGGAGCAACCATTGCAAGGCTTTCAAAGCGTTTGGTTACTCTGGTTCCTCCAGCCGCACAATCTACAAAAATGTCACAACTTACAAGGTCCACACAGGAAGGACATCCATCCTGAAGATGTGGGTCAGGACCCCCACGCAGGTGGGGGTTCTCCAGGCACATGAGATGCTGCTGAGGCTGAGCACTGTGAAGGACGATGGGCGTCCGCACCTTCTGCCGGGCTCCCGGACATGCTTCTGGGTCCAGCTGGCCCCCAGGTGCCCTCTGGCTAGTTCTCGGCCTCCTGCTCCCAGCCGAGAGCCCCTGAGTCACAAACAAGGCCTCCCAGGGTGTGAGGTGGCCTTGCGCACCTATCCTGACCCATGGCACCCTCTGGGACCCAGACACCCCTCAAGACCATGGACCACAAAAGCCTGGGGAAGGATCAGCGCCCGAGGCCCCTTTGTGCCTGCTGGCCGCCTCAGCATATGGGCGGGGGCATCCTTGTCTCTTCCTGAGCCCAGGGCACATCTGGACCAGCCCGGACTCGTGTGCTGCTTCGGGAAGACAAGGAACCCCATCCCTGGGGGGTCTGGGGTGACAAACAGTGGGTTTCCAGGAGCCCGGGATTTGCCAGAAACAGCAAAGTTTGATACTTTATTCAGCAAAAATGGCATGCACGGCCTCGGACTCCGGGACCTCTGGGGAGGAGCGGCTACGTGACAGGCAGCCTCCCCACGGCAGGTTCCATGTACAGATGGAGCGTGATAGCTGCCATCCGGGGGCCCCTGGGGTGGGGGGAGCCTGCTTCTGGTGTCACTGCTTTGGAAGAAAAACAGACACAGCTGTCCTAGAGCGAACAGTGACCCCATTCCCGTGTCCACCCAGGACCTCAGAATGTGACCTGCTGGATCGGGGTGACCCTAAATCCAATGGCAGGTGTCCTTGTAAGAGACAGAAGAGAGACAGATGCAGAGGAGAAGGCACATGAGGACGGAGGCAGAGATGGGAGGGACGTGCCCACCAGCCCAGGGATGCCGGGAGCCCCAGAAGCTGCAAGAAGCAAGAAGGACCCTGCGCTGGAGCCTCAGGAGGGAGCCCAGCCCTGCCCCGCCTGGATCTCAGACTGGTCTCCAAAGCTGGGAGGGGATTGATCCCTGTGGTTTTAAGTCTCCGGTTTGTGAGGGCCTCCCCAGGACGCACCATCTGGGCCACTGTGAAATTGCAAATTGGGTCATGGGACCCAATCTCTTGGCACGCAGGGCTCTCGGGACCCCTGCAGGGTCCGCCCTTGTGATGCCACAGAGCCGCCCTGAGAGTCCCCAACACATGGCCCCAGAGATTTCCAATGGCACCAATGCCTTTTTGCACCCCGTCTCCAGATTTTTAGTTCTGGAACGGGCCTGCCAGGCGGACAGGGCTGGTGCTGCCATCTCTGGGGCCCCAAACCCAGAGGCTCCCCAAGGCGGCTTGCAGAGAGAAGGCCTGAGTCCCAGAGGGCACTCCCCACCCACCGGCTCCTCAGTCCTCACGTGGCCAAGAGGTGACTTCTCCCCTCTTCCGTGTACACAGTGACGTCCACGCGTGGAATCTGAAAATGACGTGGGAGGCCACCCTTCACAGAGACACCTGCTCTGGGAGTAACTCCCCAGTTCCAGCTGCCCGTTATGTGCTGTGGACTCCAGAGGTTAGTGTATAAATTGGGGACTCCAACACCAGCCTCTGGAGGCTTCAGTCCCCCTCCCTGTGCGTGGTCTTAGAATCAAACCCAGTTTCGTAGGTTTGCCTCGTGCCCGTGCTTGTCTGGGGTGTGCAGAGGCACGTGCAGGGGGAAAGCAGGTGAGTGCATGCTACGCTCGCCCTTGGGAATGGAGGGTCAGCCTCCGGGGCCCCCTCGAAACCCTGCACGCCACGCCGGGGTTCCACATAGTCATTGCCCACTGCCTTGCAGCTGGAACGTCCCCACAGGGGACAGCACCTGAGCATATGAGTCCTGAATGCCCAGGTGTGTGCCTGGAACTCAAAGTCGCCATAGGAACCCTTCCGAGAGACCCCTTGAGACTCACCTGGAGAAGGATTTACCTGAGGGCACACAGGTGGCTCCAAGAAGGCTGGCACGAGGGACCCGAACTCTGCAGGGAAAGAGCCCCGACCCGCCGCTCTACCTGACTCTCCCAAAGCCAAACCATAGAAAGCAACGTCGAGGCAGCAGCCGCATCCAGTCGGAAATCCTGAGCCAGCAAGACGCCCCCAGCCAGGCTCTGGGCGTGGGCCTCGGTGCGTCTGGTGCACAAAAGCTGTGAAAACCTCAAACCAGACGCACAAAACATGGCGGCGGCCCGTGAGAAGCCGCAGACCCCGATTCTGGAGGAAGCCTGTCTATGTAATATCCTCCTCCACAGGATGTCAGGCCCCTGGAGCCCTCGGGGGACAGAAGGGACTGTCAGCGGGGTCACTGCCCAGCAAGCGGGCCGATCTCAGCGTGGGGTGTTAGCGGGAGGATGGGGGCTGCGATCACACCGGGTCCTTCCCGTTGCTGGGAATCCCAGTGCACAGGTCCCCGCTTCATGCCACCGTGTGTGTCCTACCGCCTGAAATCCCAGGGCTGGCCTTGGTTCTAGTTCCACACGCAAATAATGTTGTGTGCTCTGGGCGTGTGTGTGCGTGTGTGTGTGTGTGGGTTCCCCAGAAACCCGACCTGTCCACCTGTTAAGCAGCCGATACACGTAGACACGTGCATGGGTACATCCAGGTGTGAACTTTTTAAAAAGCTGTGGTACCGGGATTCAGCGGCTGGCTGCATGTGGGGAGCCAGAGGCACCCTGAGACATAGGACCCTTGAAGCCAACCCTGAGTTCTCCCCACGCAGAAGGGGACTGCCCTTCTCCTTCTGGCCTCTGAGACCCCAGCTTTCCAAAGACACGTACCATCTCGCTTGGAACCACACGTGCCCTCCAGCCAGACGCCGGGGTCTGCAATGACAAGACTCTGCACGGAGTGTGGATTCGGGTTCCTGAGAAGAACACGGCACGCATCGGGGCAGCACAACACGGACGGGGCGTGTGGTGCAATCAAGGATTTGTTGCCTCAGATGATGGAGCTTTTGAAAAGAAATCCTTTTTTGTAAGACGTACGCGTGTACATACTCATGTGTCCGATGGTCTGGAGTCTGATGCTTTGCTTAAAATACTGGAACAAAGAGATGCACACACACACGTTCACACGCACCACAGGTACCCATATTCACACCGGTATGTGGGCATCCAGCCATGTGTGCACACGTGCATGCAAAAGTGCACACAACGTACCCGTGTGCAGGCAAGCAGGCGTCTGTCCGTCCGTGCACACACAGGCACACACCCGGCCATGCACACGATGAGCACACATGAATACGTGAGGGCGCCCATGCATGTACACACACACACACACGTGCGTATATACACATGTACGCACATGGGTGTGCCTACAGGGGGAGAAAACGGGAGAAGGCTGATGCCTGGTAATGTCTGAAGCTGGGGGAAGGGGCCGGGGCTTCCATTCTATAACGCTCTGTCCTTTAAGCATATTTGACGATATCTGTACTTTAATAACACGAGGCATCTCGGGAAATGTCACACAGAGACATCGACTTCTGCCCAGTGGCACTTCTCCAAACTGCTGAACGGGGAAGGAACAAACATTCCCAACCCAGCTGTTCTGTTTTGTTTTTTTGTTTTGTTTTTTTTTTTTCTTTTCCTCCCAGTTATATTGCGGTAAAACACATACACACAAAACTCCCCATGTTATCCACGTTTAAGTGTGCAGGTCAGTGGTGTCACACACATTCACGGAGCTGTGCCACCGTCCCCAATGTCTGTGTCCACAATCCTTCATTGAGTACAAGGGGAACTCTGACCCCACTAAACAAGGAAGCCCCTTCCTATCCCCCACCATCTGCACCCGTCCCTATAAAGGCGATGCCACCAGGGGCCTCTTATACACGTGGGATCACAAAGTATTTGTCCTTTTGTGTCTGGCTTATGTCACTGACCATCACGTCCTCCAGCTTTGCCCACGTCACCGCCAAATCAAGATACCATTTGCCCCCCACACGGTTCAGCCGGTTGGTAGTACGTTTGTAGAGGCCTCCCCAAGACACCACAGTGCAGCTATGGGACATTTCCATCGCCCCCAAAAGATGCCCGATGCCCGTTTTCTCCCCATCCCTACGGCCAGCCCCAAACCAGTGCCCACTACTGTTTCTGCTTCTCTGGACTTGTCCTTCCTGTCCCTGTGACATCAGTGGGATCAAAGGGCACGTGGGGTGTTGCCATACTGTCTATTTCTCAACAGGGCATGTCGGGGTTCATCCCGTGTGGTAATATTAACCCTATTCTTCTCTCCTTCCTCCGTGGGCTGGGAAAGCACCTCGCGTCCATCATGCCAGACAGAATCCAAAGAGCCCCCCCCTTAGGCAGATTTTGACCTCAATCTCCAGCAAAGGGTCCAATCGAAATACCCAAAACAACGGGGCTGAAGTAGCCAGGACATCGAGAACTCTGCCTTT